CTCAGAGTAACCTCTCCTCTGTGGCTATGCTCAGCCCCACTGCTCCCAGACCTGACCTTGCTCCACCTGCTACCAGAATCCTTAGTCAGACCCTGAATTTTCCCTCTATAATCAGGACCCACCTCTGAATATTTTTTTCCTCCTGATAACGTTCCCCTTAGCCAAAGCCAGAGGGGTCTCTGCTCCTCCAGGGGAGTCACCCCTGACTAACTGAGATGAATCCTGCCAGGGAGCCTAGGCCCAAACTAGTGGTTCCAGAAAGGGGCACTATGCAGCCACACCAGACTTTATCCTGATTCTTTCATTCATTATTACACAAACAACAGGTCGTCATTGCCTATAAATCAGAAATGTGGTAAAACAAAAGAAAACAACCCAAATCCCACCAACTGGCAAAGGATTTGAATAGACATTTCTCTAAAGAAGATACATAAACAACCAATAAGTACATGAAAAGACACTCAGCATCACTAGTCATTAGGGAAATGCAGTTTAAAGCTACAGTGAGATACTGCTTCACATCCATTAGAACAGTTATTAAAAATAAATAAATAAATAAATAAATAAACAAATAAATAAATAAATAATAAATAAATAAATAAATAAATAAAGCCAGAAAAAAAAAGCAAAATAGGTGTTGGCGAGTATGTGGAGAAATTGGAAACCTCATATATTCCTGGTGGGAATGTGCACTGGTACAACTGCTGTGGAAAACAATTTGGTCATTACTTAAAAAGTTAAATATGGGGCACCTGGGTGGCTCAGTTAAGCATCTGCCTTCAGCTCAGGTCATGATCTTGGGGTCCTAAGATGGAGCCTCATATCAGGCTCTCTGCTCAGCTGGGGGCCTGTTTCTCCCTCCCCTTCTGCTTGCTCAATCTCTCTCTCTCTCTCCTTCATGATACTGTCTCTCAAATAAACAAAATCTTGAAAAAAAAAAGTTAAATATAGAATTACCATATGATGTAGGAGTTCCACTCCTTGGCATACAACCAAAGAACTGAAAACTTATGCTCACATAAAAATTAGATTCGAATGTTCACAGCAGCATTCTTCACCATAGCCAAAAAGTGGAATCAACCCCATGTCCAGCAACTGATGAATGGATAAATAAAATGTGACATATGTAATATCACAGTGTAATAGTCAGCAGTGAAAAGGAATAAAGTACCGATATGTGCTACAACCAGGGTGAATCTTGAAGACATTATGTTAAATGAAGCCAGACACAAAAGGCCACATACAGTAGGATTCCATTTATATGAAACGTCCAGAACACAAATCGATAGAGACAGAAAAGATTAGTGGTTGCCAAGGACTGGGGAGAAGACTGACCACTAACGGACATGGGTTACAAAATGCTCAGGTAAGGAAAATGTTGTGGAATTAGTGAAGATTGTGCACGACTCTGAATATACTAAAAACTGCTGAACTGTGCACTTTAGAAGGGTGACGTGTATGGTATTTGAATTAGATTTCAGTCAAAAGCACATCCTATAAACCAACTGATCATAAGCATTGAATATTTAGATAGGTAGCTCTCCAGGTCCATGTTCCATAAATACTATGCACTTTAAAGAAGGAGATTGGGCAGTCTGGGTGGCTCGGCAGTTGAGCGCTGCCTTCAGCCCAGGGTGTGATCCCGGAGACCAGGGATCGAGTCCCATGTCAGGCTCCCTGCATGGAGCCTGCTTCTCCCTCTGCCTGGATCTCTGCCTCTCTCTGTGTCTCTCTCTCTTTCTGTGTGTGTGTCTCTCATGAATAAATAAAATATTTTTTTAAAAAAGAGGGAGATTATACCAAACTATGGAAAGAGCCCAGATGTCCATCAATAGATGAACAGATAAAGAAGACGTGGTGTATATTTATACAACAGAATATTACTCAGCCATCAAAATACCCGAAATCTTACCATTTGCAACAACATGGTTGGAACTAGAGGGTATCATGCTAAGTGAAATAAGTCAGTCAGAGAAAGACAATTATCCTATGATCTCACTCAAAGGTGGAATTTAAGGAACAAAACAGAAGACCATAGGGGAATGGAGGGAAAAATAAAACAAGATGAAATCAGAGAAGGGGACAAGCCGTAAGAGACTCTTAACTATAAAAATACAAACTGAGGGTCACTGGAGGGGATAACGTAGGGGGACAGGGTAACTGGGTGATGAGCATTAGGGAGGGCATGTGATGTGATGCGCACTGACTGGGTGTTATATAAGACTCATAAACCACTCACCTCTACCTCTGAAACTAATCATATATGTTAATTAATTGAATTTACATAAGATGAAATTTTAAAAAAGAGGGAGACTGGACTATTCATATTGTTTGCTAACATCCATTTGTCACATAACAGCTTTTGAATATCTGTCCATGTCAATAAACATAGACCTACATTATTTACTTTTATGGCTACATACATGCTGCTATAGGTTTACAATAATTATTTAGCCACTTCTTATTAGTCAATATTTAGGCTGTTGCCAGTTTTTACTCTTTATCAACAGCATGCTTGAATATACTTCTTGATTTACTTATCTCATTATTGCTGTAAGATAAATTTCAAGAAGGAAGACTGTTGGATTTTTAAGATATAGAGAATCTGTGAAACTGCCCCCTGCAAGCTTGGGTGACTTCCCTGCGCCCCGGAAAAGTGAGGTAATCTAAGCTCCCAAATAGGCTCTTTTAATCATTTTCCTCTTTGCTTATTTGCAGGTAGAAAAGCAGGACCACATCCCTCTTTGATTTCTAACCACTTTTGCTGCCTGCCCTGTCATTCGGCGCCAAGAGAACTTGCTCTGAAGTTGTCATGTGCCATCTTCTAAAGCCCCCAACCCTCCTAAGCCAGCTTCTCTTTTGGGCGATATCTGTATTTCTCAAACATCTATTAATTCGTGGATGTTTATTCACTGGATGTGAATGTGATACATCTTATTATCTATTGAATATTCTGATATTCTTTTCAATACTGACTAAATGTCAATATTTAGTTGTATCCCAATTACTGTTTATAACACCCTGGGAGGGAGGTATCACACCCCTTTCACAAATAAGATAACTGAGTCTCAGAGATCATTGACCCTATAATTGGCAGAGCCTGGATTCAAGCCCATGTTGTCTCATTCTAAAGTCTCCACTCTTTCCACTCGGGACATGGGATCATGCACATCCTTTCCCTGAACTTTCTTGAAATCTCCCATCCTGAAATCTAGAGCACACTGACTATACACATGCCATGTGCTCTTAGATTTCATACATAGGCTCACTGCTCCTTGTTGGCCAGAATTTAATTCCAAACAATTCCCTTGACATCTGAGAGAACACTGAGATCCACCCTCAGATGTCTAGGCCCCAAGGCCAGTCCATCAGGGCTCCTGGGGCCTTGCACCCCAGGCCCATTTCAATGATCATCACTGGAAACCAGCTTCAGCAAAGTGTGCAACTCAGAGCTAAGAGCCTCCACAGAAACAGAGCCCCACCAGATACCCAGAAAAACCATGAGGTTTCTTTTAACAGTTTCATCTTGTTTAATAAGATTTGGTGCCTAAAACCACAGAGCTCCTGTAAGTGAAACATGAGCTGCTGTAGTGGGTTTGCAAAGCTGTTCCGGAGCAGAGGACTGAGCAGGTCTGTGAGGATGGATTCCAGTGTGAGGAGCAAACAATGTGCCCTCGTTCCACAAGCTCCTTGGATCCTCCAACATGCTAAGCCAACCTGTGTAGACAGGTCATTTCAGTCCTACTTTATAGGTTAAGAAATTGGGGCTCAAAATTAAAAGTGACTTGAGATGTCACGCCTCGTAAGTAGAGTCAGCAGAAATCTTTACCCTCCAGGCCTGAGGCCTCTCTGGGTCACTAGAAACTGAAGAACATTGTTTAACTAGATGACTGATCCTTGCCCTTTTCATGGGTCTTGGCTACAATCACCTTGGGCTGTTCTCTTCATTTACTTCCTTCCTGGCCCTAGGGCCTTTGGATTTGGAACCCTCCTCTAGATGGTCTTTCTTGGTACACTTTGTTCTGATTATCTCCTGCTGCATAATAAACAACCCCAAACTTGGCAACATACAACACCCTTTTTGTTAATGTTCTGGATTCTGTGGGTTGGGATTTGGACAGAGCACTGTTGAGGGGTCTTTGCTCTGCACCTAGATACCTGAGGCCTCAACTAGAAAGACTCAAATGAGTAGGATTGACTCCAAGGGCTGGGTACTGAAATCATTTACAACTATAGTGTCCAAACAGTGGCCACATGCGGCTATTTAAATGTACATTTAAATTAACTAAGAATGGGGCGCCTGGGTAGCTCAGTCAGTTGAGCGTCTGCCTTTGGCTCACTCAGGTCATGATCCCAGGGTCCTGGGATCGAGCCATATTGGGCTCCTTACTCCGTGGGGAGACTACCTCTCCCTCTCCCCCCTGCTCATGCTCTTTCTCTCTCTTTCTCTCTCTGTCTCAAATAAAGTCTTTAAAAAAATAAAATTAATTAATTAAAATTTAAAATTTAGTTACTCAGTGGCACTGCCCACATTTTAAGATTCTATGGCCACATATGGCTAGTGGATTGAACACAGATGTATGTGGCTAGCAGCTGTGGTATTGGACAATACAGATATAGAACATATCCATCACCATAGAAAATTCTGTTGGTAAGCCTGCTCTGGTAGTGGTGCCTTTACCCACATGCCTGGCACCTGGGCTGGGATCTTTGGAGAATCTACATGAGGTTCGGGTTTCTCACAGCACAGTTTACCAAGAGGGTGTGTCCCAAAAGGCAGCATCAATAGAGCAAGTGTTCTAAGAGACCAAGACAGACACTTCAAGCTTCCTCTAATCTAGCCTTAGAAGTCATGTGCAACCCTTCTGTCACATTCTATGGTTACATGAGAAGAGGGGTGAAATAAAATACAAACACTGCATGGGACATACATTAAAAAATCACTCACTGTTTATCTGAAATCAAAATTTAACTGGGCATCTTGTATTTTTTTTTTTCTGCTAAACCTGGCAATCTTACATGGGAGTCACTAAGGCCAGTCAGATTCAAGGATAGGTGACCCATTAGACCCATCTCTTGAGAGAGTAGCAACGTCACATTGCAGAAGAGCATGTGGGATGAAGATATTGGTGGGGCCACCTTTGGAAAATACAATCTGCCACATGTGGTCAGGTGGTTCCTCACAAAGTTTAATAGAGACTTTCACAGCTCCCTACCACCTAAAAAATGGCATTCACATTTTATGGCCTGGGTGGATAGAATTGAGAGAAATTATCTCTTTTGCCATCTTTTATCTTTTTTCTCTGTCACATGGGGCTTTGGGTCCAACTATCCTCAAATAGTAGCTCTAGGCCTTTTAACAATAGGCATTTATCTCTACTGATACCATGACCAAAGTAAGCAACAAATACTGAGAACATATACTCCATAGCACCACTGTAGACAGTGTTTTTTCTAAAGTAAGGCCCCCTGAGGTTGATAATGTGCTGTGGACACAGTGATCAATCAGAGAACTTTTGTCCAGGACAAATAGCTCCTCATCTGGAGGTCTCTAAGAACCAGGTCAACCATAGAAGTTCTCCCATATATGCCTCCCCATTGTTAACATAATGACACACAGGACAGAGGTACAAGCAACGCTCTATGGAGATGGAGATTATCCCTGCCACCAATATAGGAGCATTTATTCCATGCACAACAGTTGGTGCTATCACCCGCTAGTCATACAAAGGTAGAGGTGTCCTACTGAGACCTGTAAAGGTGAGGCCAGGATTCTCGAAGACAGTGAGGTCACTCCCAGTGTCAAGCCTTAGTCAGATGGAGAAGAATAGAATGTATTTTCTCTCTTTCTTTCTTGACCTAGGTGTCTTGTTGTCCTGGGGGTATGGGAGGGAACGCGGGTGGAGAGTAACAAGATGGTGTGCCCCATGTGGAGACCAATGAGGAGCTAGCAAGTCAGGACCTTCTCGAATCAAAAGTGAATTTTAGCTCATTAATCACTTCGTGGAGACTCAGGATGTGTTCTGTGCTTTTCTTTTCCTTTGGACATGTGTGGAGAAGGGCTGGGACCAAGAAGGAAACAGAAACAAGATCATCATAAAATGTCAAGTAAAAATAGATAAGAAACTAAACTAAATTACATATAATACAGTCCTAATTTTGTGTAATCCATGTATATCCATACACATACCCACATAGTGATTTTTATTTTCTTTTATGTATTCTATATTCTCCCCAATGAGCAATCAGCATACATTACTTTTATAATAAGAAACACGTAGACATTACTTTTAAACCAGAAAAAGGAGGAACAGACTGTTGGAAGAATTCCAAATTAAAAGAACACCACCTAAAGTGCTATGAGTGGCTGTTGTAGCTCGTTGCTACTCAGCTGCCATTTCCTCATCTTTCTTGTTAATAGAAAGCTGATCTGAGTCAAGGTCAGTAGGCCCAGCTGAAGAAAATTAACTATAATTGGGCCAAAGCTCATCTTCTTTGTCGGTAATTGGTGTAAAAGTTGGCATGTGACCCATTTCTGGCCAATAAAACATAAGTGGAAGCCTGCTGGTGGCTCTTAAGAAAGAATTTACTCTTTGGTTAAAAATAAAAAGGAGGGGAGCCTAGGTGGCCCACTCCGTTAAGTGTCTGATTCTTTTTTTTTTTCTTTTTTTTAAATTTTTATTTATTTATGATAGTCACACAGGGAGAGAGAGAGAGGCAGAGACACAGGCAGAGGGAGAAGCAGGCTCCATGCACCGGGAGCCTGACGTGGGATTCAATCCCGGGTTTCCAGGATCGCGCCCTGGGCCAAAGGCAGGCACCAAACCGCTGCGCCACCCAGGGATCCCAAGTGTCTGATTCTTGATCTCAGTTCAGGTCTCAATCTCAGGGTCATGTGTTCAAGCAATGTGTTGGGCTCCACACTGGGCATGGAGCCTACTTAAAAAATAAATGAGAAAGAGAGAGAATCAAAAAAGGAAAAGCACCCCAAGACCTCCTCCTTAACCTTCATGTTAGGATGATGTCCTATGAAAATAATACTTGGTGCTACGGCAGCGATCTTGTGACCACAGCAAGGAGACATGGCCGACATGTTGAGACATGTTTTTCTACGGCAGAAAGAAAAGATGAGAAGGCTTGAGATCTTCAATGACATCACTGAACCATTAAATTCACCCTGAAACTGTCACTACCAGATTTGTTATATGAAGTAATCGAGTCTGTATTGTTGAAGCTATTTTAGTTGATATTCTATTATCTGCTACCAAATACATCCTGGATAATATTCACTATCAAGAGATAAGGTTAGAAACCAGGAATTAAGGATATATTCATATGGTTGAAGCCACTAGAAAAGCCAGGAAAAGGGCAGCCCCGGTGGTGCAGCGGTTTAGCACTGCCTGCAGCCTGGGGTATGATCCTGGAGACCCGGGATCGAGTCCCACGTCGGGCTCCCTGCATGGAGCCTGTTTCTCCCTCTGCCTGTGTCTCTGCTTCTTTCTCTCTAAGTCTCTCATGAATAAATAAAAATTAAAAAAATTAATAAACCTATGTTTGGGGATAAATTTTCTTGGACCAGATTCTCCACAATGTACCTCTTTGAAAGTCATGGCTTGTTCCAGGACTCTGATGCTTTATTTAGTTCTCCAACCTAAGTGACAACAATAGTCTAGTCCCTTACTTCCCTTTGTTAAGAAAAATTATCCAAAAATTGGAAATTCAGCAAAAATATTACCAGGTACTCCTCCCTCTTTCCTTCCTTCCTTCCTTCTTTCCTTCCTCCCTCCCTCCCTCCCTCCCTCCCCTCCTTCCTTCCTCCCTTCCTCCCTCCCTCCCTCCCTTCCTTCCTTCCTTCCTTCCTTCCTTCCTTCCTTCCTTCCTTCCTTTCCCTCTCTCTCTCTCTCTCTCTTTCCTTCTGATTTAAATTCCATTAGCCAACATGGCACATCATCAGTTTCAGATGCAGTGTTCAACCACTGGATTCGCGTAACACGTGACGCTCATCACATCACATGCCCGTCTTAATGCCCGTCACCCAGTTACACGCCCCCCCCCCATACTCTTTCAAAGCCACATGACTGTGAGTCTGTGTAACAATCTGCCTACAAGTCATCTGATTTTGAGGGAAGCAACTGTTGGACTTACTATTTTCAAGCGATTAGGTTGAGCTCTGTGAGGTTACATCTACTGTGTGGAAGAGTGGCATATTTTGCAAATGACCTTTTCCCCGGTGGAGATGCAAATGACTTCTGTCGAGTAGAAAAGATAGGCAGTTTGATTGCCCTGTGAGGTCACCATCTTGTCCTGTCTCTAACTCAGCCATCTTGCTCCGGCCTTCTCGTCACTAACCACATATATTTCTGTCTCTTCTCCTTGGAACTAGCTGTGTCATCGTGCTGCTTCCCTCATTAGGGAGCTAAAGAAATCTTGGACAAGGCTCACTGTACGTTTGGATGAGAACCGTGTCTTCACCTTTGGGAAGGTGACACTTTTGGAGCCCAGCTGTCGCAGGCTCTCAAAATGACTTTGCTAAATGTGAAGGAAAGGGAATAGCAGGAGGAATTCAAGAAGCAGAAAAACAGTCTGGCTTCCAAACCTATCATGGTTAAGCTGTTACCTACTTCACGCCTTGTCCCCAGAAATGACAAGTGGCTGCTGCAGAGGGCCTTGGTGATCCTCCAGCGTTCCCTTCCTAGCCTTATACCACCCACAAAGACAGGTCCACCTGACCAGCGGCCAACTCCAGGCCCTCTGGCACCTCCAAATCCAGGCTGTGAGAACATCAACATCGACCGCTCCCATTTGGACCCTGTTTGGAGATCTGGGACGTGCCTTTCCCACAGATGGTGAGCAGGACAGTAGAGGCTGGTCCTCCCTCCTCCAGACCCCTTCTCCCACCCTGGAGACGGGGCCCTGATCCTTCCAGCACCTAACAGTATACTGTACCCTTCCTATGCATGACCTAGGGCCGGGCTGGGAAGTCGCCCACCCTTCGGCCTTTCCATCCAAATGGCTCAACCTGGGCCTTCCCGGGCTTTTCCTTCTCATGGCCACTTCATTCCAATCTCCTGTCCCCACTGAATGCCTGTGTCCTGCCTTCTCTTGGGCCCAGCCCTGGAACCCAGCGCCCTCTTGCCGTCCCAGAGCCATCATCTGCCTCAGCAGCACATCCTCATAAAAGGTTTGGAGCCAGTTACTTCTCATGGCTGCGTGGCCACCATCTTCACATTTATAGTAGAGCCCACAGGCCTTCCTGCCTCCTCAGGGCTCCCTGGTGCCCTCCTGCTGTGCCATCTGGACCTGAGTCCCTCTGAGCTCCTCCCTCTGAGCCTCTCCCTCCCCTTCCCTTCTCTGCCTGACCCCTCAGGGCTCCCCCCACCAAAGTGCGGGAAGTGTGGCCCTGAGCTTTCAGCCTGGATCTGACTGAGATCACCTTGGAGGAGACGGCAAGGTAGTCCCCTCATGCAAAACAGGACATTTATCTAGAGGACAAAGGAGGCAGCTGTTGGTTCTCATTTTAAAAAGTAAAATTTTCTTCTCCCACCACACACAGGAGAGAACAATACAAATATAGAGCCAGATGGAGGGAGGAAGAGGGAATTTTTTTTCTGTCACATGGCTCTCTCGGGGAAACTGTCCCTGAATTTACCATATTTATATTCTCTCTCTCTCAGAGCCCCCAAAAGAGCTGGATTCAGAATTGCCCTTTAGGGAAGAACACAGTTTTCCCAAAGGCAGGGCGAACCTTTGGGGCATGGATCATGTCCTTCCCCAGGCACAGAGTCCAAGGGCTCTTTGCTGTGTCACAAAATGATGGGGGCCTCAGGAGATGCTCTCAGCAGCTACTAGAATGTTCCCTCCTGAGATAGCAGCATGAAACCTGTTGAGACAGCAAAATGCTCCCACGCTGGGTATCGATTCACTATCTCCATACGTTAGCCAGCAAAGAAATCAAGGAACGGTTGAGTTGCATGTTGCAATTTCTAAAAATAAAACTTCCTAATTTTGAGTTTCACCAAGCCTTCAGTTTGGTTTTGCAACATTACGCATGTGCTCTTACTTCTTACATTGTCTCAACTTTCACAGAGCTTTTAGGAAACTTCCCTTTGCATGGAGAAATTAGCCTAAGAAGTCTTGCTGTTAACCTTCCTGTTGACTTTCAGTATGAGAGGACACCAGACTCGACTGGTCTTCTTGGGCTGCCATAGCAGAATGCCATTGGCTGGGTGGTCTAAACAACAGCAATTTGTTGCCCAGCTCTGGAGGCTGGGAAGTCCAAGATCAAGGTGCCGCCAAGGTAGGACTCATTCTGAGGCTCCTTCTCTTGCCTTGTAGAAGGCTGCCTTCTCCCTGCGAGCACCCTTTCTTTTGTGCACATGGGGACACAGAGGGCTCCCGGGTGTCTCTTCTTGGAGGGCATTTATCCCATCATGAGGGCTCCACCCTCATGACTTCATCTAGCCCTAAACACCTCCTGAAGATCCCACCTCCAAATACCATCACATTGCGGGTTAGGGCTTCAAGCTATGAACCTGGGTGGGTGCGTGGGGGTGACGTCACTTAGTCAGGGTCTCAGCCTTCGGGCCAGTTTCTCCAACTCCAAATCATGTGACGTTGAAATGACAACCCAGATCACCGGTTGCATTTTACAGTCTGCAAGGTTTTCCTCTTATCTTCCATGACTATAAGTAGGAAAGCGTATTAAAAGTTATTTACCCTAGTGTTTAAAGGATTTTTTTTTACAATCCTCTTCAAATACTTCATTAGAATAGTACGTAGTAGCATTCCTTTGAATTTCAATAAATTTCTGCCAAATGTCCTTCTACTAGAGAAAAAGAAATTCATGCTAGATACAGGAAGAAGACGATAGTAAGTTCCTCTCTGTGGTAATCCAAAAATATCACAGAATGCTGCATGTTAAAATGCATTAGAAATGCACAATGACTTTCTTCTCATCCTTATATCTCCATTTATGGACTATGATTCATACATAAGAATGCTCTGTCACTAGAAAAGCATAAAAAATCAAATTTCACCGTGGCATATTTATAATTGCTACTAGGAAAATATGCAGTGTTAAGACAGAGGGTGATTCTTTCTCCTTTGGCCTTTTTCTCTTTCCTGTGTTGTTACAATGTTAATTGTACATTTATTTCTAGAACAATAGTAAATAATGATAGCTAACACTGGTTGACTTCTTAGCATGTGCCAGCATCGTGCCAAGTATTTATACTCCCTATCTCTTCTAATCCCCACAGAAGCCCCACAAGGTAGATATTGTCATTGTCTATGAAACCACACACAAAATGTTAAGTATTTATAATTGCCTCCCTGCTCCCCACTTCATAGGAAGGTAGTTTCTTGGAGGACTCTTTATTTTCCTTGGTGGGTGTCCCCTGTTGGGGACAGGAATGGAGAAGCCAAGAGAGAGGGGAGCTAAGTTGAAATAAAAAGGTGGAATCGGTGAGTGGCTGGAGGGAGCTGGGCAAACTAACGGCTAGGAGGGGACAGTGAAGAGAAAGCAAGGGGGAGAGGGAAGGTAGGAGAGGCCTGGCAAGGGCCCACGGGCTGCAAGAGGAGGCCAGGGAGAAAGAGAGAAACATACCATGGTCACTACAGAGAGGAGAAGAATTTGGGGAAAAAATGGGAGATTTGGAGAGGATTTTTCAAAGTTCAGGTACATGAAGTATAACTTACCCCTTCAGAGCTCCAAGAAAGCCTCAATACTGACTCTGCCACATGCTGGGTGCCTGGGTGGCTCAGTTGGTTAAGCATCTGCCTTCGGCTCAGATCCTGGGATGGAACCTCAAGTTGGGTTCCCTGCTTAGCGGGGAGTCTGTTTCTTCCTCCCTCTCTGCCCCCATCTGCCAGCTTGTGCTCTTTCTCTCTCAAATATATAAATAAACTCTTAGAAAAAAAGACACTGACATATTTCATTTAAATCTAAGACACCACTGCCTGTAAGATATGATCAATGGTGGAGTACACCATTATTTTCTGTGCCAGCCAAAAGGAAGGCAGGAAGGCAAGAAGGGAGGGAAGGAGGGAGGAAGAGCTGAAAGAAAGAAAGAAAGAAAGAAAGAAAGAAAGAAAGAAAGAAAGAAAGAAAGATTACAAATACCCATCATTTGAAAACATGCTCTGATTTCAAAGGAACACGGTAGATTATTCTGTAATACTCTCTCAGTCAGATTTATGGGTTTTCTTCTTTTTTTTAGTGCAAAGTTATGTGGTGAGGTCAGATCTGAGCTGCCCAAGGAAGGCTTGGCTACATTTTAGTTACTCACATTTTACAGATAAAAATTGAACCTCAGGGCAGCCCAGGTGGCTCAGCGTTTTGGCGCTGCCTTCAGCCCAGGGTGTGATCCTGGAGGCCCAGGATCAAGTCCCGCATCGGGTTCCCTGCATGGAGCCTGCTTCTCCCTCTGCCTGTATCTCTGTATCTCTGCCTCTCTCTCTCTCTGTCTCTCATGGATAAATAAATGCAATCTTTTTTTTTTTAATAAATAAAATCTTTAAAAAAAAATTGAACCTCAGAGAAGCTAAGTCACTTACCCCTGGGCTAGCCAAGATCCCAACCCAAGTCAGTTTAAGTCCCAAACCTATGTCCTCTACTTTTTAATTAATACACACAGTTAATAGTTGGCCAGCATTTTATTAAACCTGTAGTTATTAACAAAAATAACTTTTGAATTAAAAAATAACAGCTTTAGGGGAAGATGGGTGGCTCGGTCATTTGACCATCTGACTCTTGATTTCAGCTCAGGTCATGGTTTCAGGGTCATGGGACTCGAGTCCTGTTGGGCTCATGCTCAGCATAGAGTCTGCTTGTCTCTCTCCCTCTGCTCCTCCCCCTGCTCTCTCTCTCTCTCTCTGTAAAATAACTAAACAAATAAAATTTAAAAAAAAATAACAGCTATATATAACATCATTTACACATTGTTGTGATTCAGAAGTCCCTACCCATTGGAAAAAAAATTGTGAGAAACCATGATTTGGGCTTTGTGGTTCTAGAATTTCTTTCTTTCTTTCTTTCTTTCTTTCTTTCTTTCTTTCTTTCTTTCTTTCTTTCTTTCTTCCTTTTTTTTAAGATTTTATTTATTTATTCATGAGAGACACACACAGAGAGAGAGAGAGAGAGAGGCAGAGACACAGGCAGAGGGAGAAGCAGGCTCCATGCAGGGAGCCCGATGCAGGACTCGATCCCAGGACTCCAGGATCATGTTCTGGGCCGAAGGTGGCGCTAAGCCCCTGAGCCACCGGGGCTGCCCCTACAATTCCTTTCTCTTCTTTTCAAATTATCTTTAATTAACTAAGGGTAGGATGGTCAAATACCTGAATATTCATCAGGAGGTTCTAAAATCAAAGCTAATTCTGCACTTCTACTAAGCAAACATTTTCTTTTAAAGACAACAAAAGGGAAGCCTTTCTGTGATTCAGGAGTGAGGAACATCAAGCTCTAGGACCAAGCTCCAAGGACAAGTTCTAAGAGCAAGACCAAATACATAAAATATAAACAGATAAGCAGACCATGAACCTGGGAAAAAGTCCAATCTCACTAATAATTACAAAAATCCCAGACTGTCCGATTCTACAACAGGTACCTGACAACATGGTTTTCCAACACTAACTAACACTTTTAACAAATCTGGATCTTTGTCCATCCAAGAATGCTCCCCCTACCCCCACTTATGAAAATGTTATTTCTCTTTAGCTCCTTTTAATATAGAACAATCCCTCAACTATTTTCATTATATATGATACTGACTTTAAAAGTACAAGCCATATTTCTCAAAGAATGTTCCACTATCTGATTGTGTGTGTGTGTGTGTGTTGTGTGTGATGCAGTTTAATGTGTCCTCCTACCGCCTGTGTTTCCTATTAAATACTGAGGTGGGGCGATTCAGGTTTAAACTTTTTTGGTAAAATTGTTTCACAGGTGATGCTTTCTATGTCATAGCGCATCTCATCAGAACGCACACGTCAGGTGTCCGGTCCTTAGGGACAAGGCTGGGATGCGTGGTTACAGTGCTGATTGGCAGTTATCTCCCTTTGCAATGAGTAAGTAGCTTGTGGAGTGGCACCTTCTTCTACCTTGTTCATCTCTGTCGCTTCCAGTTCCTAGCACAGGCCACACGCAGTCGATGGACGAGTTTTACCTTGGCCCTACAAACTAAAGTTGAGCACAGCATCCAGATCTCACAAGCGTACTTCCTTTAATGGATTATTCTGGAATAACGGAGACCTTAGGAGATGGCCGTAGGAATCCCCAGAGCAGGTGCTGAGGGGTCACAAAGTTTCTGCTGCTGCCTCAGGCTGAGTGCCCAGACCCATACTAAGCGCTTGGGAAGAACTGCCTTCTTTCAGAGGCGGCTGGAGGAGGCTACCCAGAGCTTTGTAAACAGCAGAAAACCGAAGAAAAATTTAAACTGTCATTTCAAAGCTGAGAACAGTTTTCTGTTTTGCAAGAAGTGAAGCCTTGGAATCTCCCTCAGTTCTTGGAAAACCACCTGCTTAGTTAATTAATGTGATGTAAATTTTAAGCAGAAAATGTTTGAGTTAAATTGTTTATTATAATGTAAGAGGGTGTCTATGTTTTTGCATAGTCATCTCTCTCTTTTTTTTTTTTAAGATTTTATTTATTTATTCATGAGAGACACAGAGAGAGAGAGAGAGAGAGGCAGAGACACAGGCAGAGGGAGAAGCCGGCTCCATGCAGGGAGCCTGATGTGGGACTGGATCCCAGGACTCCAGAATCATGCCCTGGGCTGAAGGCAGATGCTTTAACTGCTGAGCCACCCAGGCGTCCCATCTAATGAGGCATTTCATGCTACAAATTTCCCCCTCGTGCTGCTCCTTTTGCAACATCCCACAAATTCTGTCATGTGTTCATTTTCACTCAGGTCAAAGAAGAGTTCCTAATGTCCCTTTTCATTTCTTGTATTACCTATGGCATATGTAGAAGTATGTTACTTAGTTTGCAAGTATTTAAGAATTTTTTCAGAGGTGTATAATTGATTTCCAATTTAATTCCATTATAACCAGAGAAGATACTTAAAATGACTTTACTCCTATAAAATGTATTGAGACTTGTTTTATGGCCCAAAATATGGTCTACCTTGGTAAATTTTCCATGTGTATTTGAAAATGCGTGTTTTGCTTTCTTACACCATATACAAAAAAAAACTCAAAATGACCAAAATGTGAGATCTGAAACTATAAAATTGCTAGAAGAAAACACATACAGTAATCTCTCTGTTATCTGCCATAAAAACATTTTTCTAGATATGTCTCCTTTGGCAAGGGAAATAAAAGCAAAATTAAACTATTGCAACTACACCAAAATAGAAAGCTTTCACAGAGTTGAAGGTAATCATCAGCAAAACAAAGGGACAACCTACTGAATGGGAGAAAATATTTGCAAATGATATATCAGGTAAGAGGTGAATACCCAAGATATATAGAGAACTTATACAACTGAACACAAAACAAGTAATCCAAATTAAAAATGGACAGAAGACATTTAATGACATTTCTCTAAAGAAGACATACAGATGGCCAATAGACACTAATCATTGGGAAATGCAAATCAAAACCACAATGATATATCATCCAAAATGGCTGTCAGAATGGCTAAAATAAAAAATACAAGAAATAAGTGTTGGCCAGGATGCAGAGAAAAAGGAACCCTTGTGCCCTGTTGGTGGGAATGCAAGCTGATGTAGCTAGCCACTGTGGAAAACAGCATAGAGGTTCTTCAAAAAATTAAAAACAGAATTTCCATATGATCCAGTAACTCCACTACTGGGTATTTACCCAAAGAAAACAAAAACATTAAATCAAAAAGATACATGCACTCCTATGTTTATAGAAACATTATTTACAATAGTCAAGATAAGGAAGCAGCCCAAGTGTCCTTCTATAGGTGAATGGATAAAGAAGCGGTATATAGAGACAACAGAATACTACTCAGCTGCAGAAAAAGAATGAAATCTTGCCATTTGCAACAATGGAGATGCATCTAGAGGGAATAATGCTGGGAAATAAGTCAATCAGAGAAGACAAACACCATATGATTTCACTCATATGTGGAGTTTAAGAAACAAAACAACTATAAAAAGAGAAAAAAAAAAACAGACTTTTAAATATAGAGAACAAACTGGTGATGCCAGCGGAGAGATAGGTGGGGGGATGGGTCAAATAGTGAAAAGAATTACAAATACAGTTGTGATGAGCACTGAGCAATGTATAGTGTTGAGTCGTTATATTGTACACTTAAAACTAACATAACACTGTATATTAATTATACTTGAATAAAAAAAGGAAAACGTGTGTTTTGCTTTTGTTGGGTGGAATGTTGTAAGTCAAGTTCATCGATAATGTTGTTCAAATCTTCTAAATCTTTAATGATGTTCTATCTTCATGTCCTATCAATTGTGGAAGGAAGGGTAATGAGATCTTCAACCACACTTGTTTGTTGTTGGTTTTTTTTTAAAGATTTTATTTATTTGACAAGGAGAGAGCACAAGATGGCAGAGGGGCAGAGGGAGAGGGAGAAGCACTCCCCGGTGAGCAGGGAGCCCCATGTGGGGGGCTAAAGGCAAATGCTTAACCAACTGAGCCACCCAGGCCCCCCTTCAACCACACTTGTGAATTTGTTTATTTCTCCTTGCTTTAGTCTTTGCTTTATGTATTTTGAAGATCTGTTAGGGACATAAACATTTTATGATTTTTATATCTTCTTGATGAATCGGCCCCTTTGTCATTGTAAAATGACTTTATCTCTATGGTTTCAACCTTATCTGACATTAATATAGCCACCCCAGCTTTCTTCTAACTAGAATTTGCATGTTTATCTTTTTCCATTCTTTTATTTTTACCCTAAGTATCTTTATATTTAAGTGTGTTTCATGTAGGCAGCATATCATTTGGTCTTGTTTTGATAACTAACCTGACAATCCTTATCTTTTTTTTTTTTTTTTTTTTTGAGAGAGAGAGAGAGAACATGCACACATGTGCATGGGGGCGGGTGCAGAGAGAGAGGGAGAGAAAGAATCCTAAGCAGGCTCCAAGCACAGTGGGGAACTCGACTCAGGGCTCGATCTCAGGACCCTAAGATCATGACCTGAGCCAAAATCAAGAGTCAGATACTTAACTAACTGAGCCACCCAGGCACCCCAAACAAAATAATTAGGTTTTTGTTTTAAATTTTTATTTATTTATTCATGAGAGACAGAGAGAGAGAGGCAGAGACATAGGCAGAGGGAGAAGCAGGCTCCCCACAGGGAGCCTGATACAGGACTCGATCCCAGCACCCTGGGATCAACAACCTGAGCCAAAGGCAGACGTTCAACCACTGAGCTATCCAGGTGCCCCCATAATTAGTTTTTTTTTCCCATAATTAGGTTTTAAGTCTATCATCTTGCCATTTGTTTCTATTGGTCCTATATGTCCTTTGTTTCCTTTTTCTGTCTATTTGTAGACTAGC